CTCTATGGCATGACACCCTCCTGAAGTCCCTCCTTTCATCAAGCCCCACCCTCCCAGAAACTAGGGTCGCCAACCTCCAGGTGGGGCCAGGAGGTCTCCCAGAATTACAACGGATCTGTTCCCCTGGAGAAAAACGGCTGCTTTGGAGGGTGGGCTGTATAGCATTATAACTATACTCTGCTGAGGCCCCTCCCTTCCCCAAACCCTGCCCTCCTCAGACTCCACTCCGCCTCCCTGCGAATCTCCAGGTATTTCCCAACTCAGAGTTGGCTCGCTCTAAGCCGTGGAGTCTTGCGAGGAAAAATTCTACTTTATGAGCTACCGGCAGTAAAGCTGTGAGCGAGCGATTTGGCTGCTGCATCAGTTAGTTTGCTCTGGAGCCCTCCTCCCTAAGATAGAAATGTGTGAGCTGGAGGCTAAAAAAGTGTGAGCTAGCTCACACTAACTCAGCTTAGAGGGAACACTGCTCCAGACCCCACCTGGAGGCTGGTAACCCTAGCTCCCGACCCCCACCTGGAGGTTGGTAACCCTAGCTCCCGACCCCCACCTGGAGGCTGGTAACCCTAGCTCCCGACCCCCACCTGGAGGTTGGTAACCATCGCTCCAGAAACACCCCTAAGTCCCCAAGCAAACAGTCACTAGTTGCACCCAAACCTGAACTGCACGGAAATTGGGTGCAAAATGGCCTGAGGTCGCTCTCTGTCCGTGTGTGTTGCGTGCTGCGGCTTCCCTTGCCAGGTACTTTAACGGGGAATGGGAATGGCTTGGCCGCCGTCGGGATTGCAGCGTTCTTGGCTTCGGCCCCGCCTGTCAGGCGCTTCCTTTCCGCAAACAATTCTAGGAAATGTAATCGGGGGGAAAGTTTGATGTGGCAGGAGGGGACAAAAACAGACGCGCTTACAGTCAGCCTGCCTGGAAGTCACAAGGCATAGGGAAATAAGAGATTTGCCAGGAAAGCAAAAGCGACCAGTAGAAATCCCCGGGACTTTTGCTTTCACTTTCAGACCCGTCGATCTTCGTGCCGGAGCCGCGCTAGGGACACCTTCGAGCGCAACAGACGGAGACTTTCGCTTGTTTCAGCTGACAACCACCCGAAGAAGAAAACAGGGAAGGGGGGGGAGAAGACCCATGGGGCCGGTCTCCAGAAACAATGCTCTGGTGGATTACAGGCATCCGGGATCCATTCCAAGGAGAAAGAAGTGAAAACTGAGGCGTGGCCTGCAGCTGCAGGTAAACAACCTTCAGGGGCCTAGAGGAGTTGGATTCTCCCCCTTGGAAGCCTCATCTCGCGATCATGGTGAGTGTGTACCCTGGCTGGACCTTTATGGAACTTTTCTGCAAGCTGCCTGACCGCAGCAGAGGGAATGCCAAGAAATGGGAGACATGCCAAGAAACAGGAGGGTTCCCAGGATCTGGGGTTGGAGGGTGGGCCTTTACCATGGGCCACCCATGGTGATCAGGATTGGGGGATCCCCAGGTCCCACCTGGAGGCCTGGCACCCCTATTTCATGAACGTGGACCAAACATGATTGAAAGGTTGTGGTTTTATTTGAACCACAGCCTCTCAATCATGTTTGTTCCATATTCTGTAAACTGCCCTAAACCTGCTCTGGCGGGGAGGGCGGGATACAAATTAAGTAAATAAATAATCAACTTTTCTAGTTCACGATAAACATCTGGTTTGGCGTGATTAGATGGTAAATAATCATCTGCATCCATCAGTATCTCAAACTGTCCCTTGCAAATTTATTCAATTTGATTCACTAAGTGACTTGTTGGAAGGCAGGCAATGACTAGACTTGAAAATTCTTTCTTTGGCAGTTCTAGGAAGAAGGGGTAGAATGATGTCAGATTGCTGGAACAAGGGAAATGCCAGGCCTTTCTGGTTTGTAGCAGGATCCAAAGGGCTGGTATGATGCCCCTGTCCTCTACCCTCCCTCATAGGCAAGATTTTCCCTCCCATTTTTCTTTCTCTTTACTGACTGAGCAGCCCTAGTAATGTGTTTTCTTCTTTGCTGATGAAGAACTCTGGCTGTCCCACCCTGTCACAGGGTACAGGAAGGATGCAATTACAGATCAGTCTTTATTTGTCGGCCTCCCCCCCCCCAGTTGAATCCAAACAAATGCTGACCATATAAACTTAGCTTGTTATCCCTGTCTGGTTGTCACACAACTTCATTATGTAATATGCTAATTTGCTGTTCACCCTCTTTTTATATGTATGGACTGATAACTTCCGTTTCAGTGTGTCTGAGGAAGTGTGCATGCACACAGAAGCTCACACCTTGCATAAAATTTTGTTGGTCTTAAAGGTGCTGCTGGGCTCAAATGTTGTTCCACCCTGTCCCAGTATGATATTTTGGCTGTTGGCTCAGCCCAGGAACCTGAGAGAAGGCTCGGGAGCCCCCTTTAACTTAAACGGCACCCGAGGAGTTTTGAAATTCAAAAATAGCAAAATATTTTATTTAACATAGAGGGAAAAAGTCAAGTGAAAACAGGGGTAAAATTTCTGAGGTAAAACCAGTACATGCACAGACTTTAGTTCTTATGTTTCAGGCTAATGAGGGTTTCTTAAGCTTTTCACGGTGACTTAAATCTTTATGTTGAGAGGCTTATGTTCCCGTGTTTTCTCAAAAACTCCAGCAAGCTTTCCTTGAATATTCTCTGACTCTTTTGGTTTCCAGAAGGCTGGTGCACTCTTTGCAGTACCCAGCCGCTAATCTTGGAACACCAGTACTTGTCTTGAGTTTTTAATGGACTCTTACGGTCTCCAAAGGCAGTTTCTAACCACACCAGACCAGGGATCTCTGCACTCTTCAGAGCTAAATCCCTGTCTGACTGGGTAGGGAAATTCTCCTCTCACTAGAAGACCTATCCCCTTTCTTTGGCCCGAGAATGGGAGTCTCCATCTAACTACCCACTCATCCTTGCCAGCTTCCCCCCAGTTCTCCACCTGTGTAAAACTGCTCTCAGCTAAGGCTGAAATCAAACTCAACTCAGTCAAGGCAGAAATCTGACGGTCTCTTTAGCATCCAGTTCAGAAGTCTTTCTCTGCTCAGCTGATGCTTTTGGAACAGCGTGTCACTCAAGGCTCTCTGGCCTCTATGAAGAATTAACCCTTCACAGTCCTTTATCTGTTTACACAGCACTTCTAAGCTTTTAAAAGTGTAGTCCATCACAGCTGGTTTAGGTGTTTTTCTGTCGGAAAGGCAGTCACATGCTGATGGTATCAGACACAGCTTTTGAAATCCCCCCCATGTTTCAAGAACAGATTGCCATATGGAAAAGGGAAGTATGTCCAAGAAACACAAGTTCTCGACCGTGCGATGTGTTGAATTTTGACCTCTGTTCCCAGTGGGGGAAAAATGACACCATTGTACAGTTGTCATGCAGGATTTAGAGACATTCTTCATATTATGTAGGGTTTGTTTTTTGTCGTGGTGGAAAATGTTGTGGTTTGAGTGATGGGGGAGTAAGATGTGTTTCTCAGCTAGTGCAAACTTGAGTGGTCTGTGGTTGCGTAAAGGTCATGGACTGCTATTGGCTAGCACCTGTGATACCAGTGGTGAGGAGTAACTAATCTTCCCTCCCTCTCATTGCCAATGCAATTAAAACAAAACATTCATTTAAAAAAATCTTCTGTTACACTCTGCTCATGTCAAAGAGCGCTCTTCAGATCCAAGCCTTACCTAAGAACCATAGGGTGGTTGTACACAGAGATTATCCTATTTCATCCAGTTAAGAACCTACAAGAGAGGATAGGTTGAATCATTGTGACTTGACCACAAATGTCTCCTATGCGGCCAAACAAGGATCTGAACCGTGGTCTCTCCAGTCCAAATCCACCTATCCACAATGCCCCCATTGCTACTTAGTTCTTTGTTTAATAACAAAAGGGTAGCAGCACTCATGGGGGCTGCGGTGGCTCAGAGGTTAAGACTCTGAGCTGCAGACCAGAAGGTTGGTAGCTTGGCATTCGAGACCCGAGTGCCGCACTACAGAATGAGCTCCTGTCTCTGGCTCAAGCTCCTGCCAGCCTAGCAGTTCGAAAGCAAGAAATTTCAATTAGATAAATAGGTACCGCTTCAGTGGGAAGGTAACAGCGTTCCGTGCGCCTCAGTGTTTAGTCATGCCAGCCACGTGACCACAGAGAAGTCTTCGGACAGCGCTGGCTCTTCAGCTTGGAAACGGAGATGAGCACCGCTCCCTAGAGTTGGATTTGACTGGCTTTCGAGCAAGGGAAACCTTTACCTTTACTTAGCACTCCTGAGCAGGGCCATCCCCTCTGTCTAAAACACAAGCACTTCTATTTCACATAACTCCCCCTTTTCCCCTTTAATCTTGTCAAAAGTTGTAATTTGCCCCTCTCTGGCACACCAGACTGCAAGCACACCTCTCTCCCCTTGTCTTCCTGTCCCATCTGACTTTTCTCCAAGGACATGGGCGCGTCTATGATGTCATCCTAGCAGGGCGTAGTGCTTGGAGTGTCAGATGAGGATGTGAGAGACCCAGGTTTGAAACTCCCACTCTGCCATGGAAGCTCACTGGGTGACTTTGGGCCAGTCACATACTTTCACCCTTAACCTACCTCACAGGGTTGTTGTGAAGGTAGAATGGAAGAGAGGAGAAGGGCGTAAGCTGCTTTGGAGCCCCCACTGGGCAAAAAGGCAGCATGTGAATGAAGTAAATAAATAGGTTTTATGCTCTTACGTACTGTTAGAGGCAGGGTAGATGGAGATCATGACCAAGGATATCCAGTAGATAATTACTTAACATAAAAACATAAGAGACGCCAATGTTGGATCAGGCCAAAGGCCCATCCAGTCCAACACTCTGTGTCACACAGTGGCCAGAAATACCAGTGCCATCAGGAGGTCCAGCAGTGGGGCCAGGACATTAGAAGCCCTCCCACTGTTGACCTCCCCCCCCCCAAGCACCAAGAAGACAGAGCATCACTTGCCCCAGAGCCCCTAGCTATACCTTGTGGCTAATAGCCACTGATGGACCTCTGCTCCATATGCTTATCTAATCCCCTTTTGAAGCCGTCCATGCTTGTAGCCGCCACCACCTCCTGTGGCAGTGAATTCCATGTGTTAATCACTCTTTGGGTGAAGAAGTACTTCCTTTTATCCGTTCTAACCCGACCGCTCTGCAGTTTCATGGAGTGCCCACGAGTTCTTGTATTGTGAGAAAGGGAGAAAAGTACCTCTTTCTTTACCTGCTCTTTCCCATGCATAATCTTATAAACCTCGATCATGTCACCCCTCAGTCGTCTTTTCTCCAAGCTAAAGAGTCCTAAGCGCTTTAACCTTTCCTCATAGGGAAAGTGTTCTAACCCTTTTATCATTCGAGTTGCCCTTTTCTGCACTTTTTCCAAAGCTATAATATCCTTTTTAAGGTGTGGTGACCAGAACTGCACACAGTATTCCAAATGAGGTCGCACCATTGATTTATATAGGGGATTTTATTTATTTATTATGGGATTTGTATCCCGCCCTACCCATATAAGGGCATTATGATATGGCTGATCTGTTTTCAATACCCTTCCTAATAATCCCCAGCATAGCATTGGCCTTCTTTATTGCAGTCACACACTGTCTCGACATTTTCAGTGAGTTATCCACTACAACTCCAAGATCTCTCTCTTGCTCAGTCTCTGCCAGTTCAGACCCCATCAATGTGTATTTATATTTAGGATTTTTGGCTCCAATGTGCATCACCTTGCACTTGGCCACATTGAACCCCATTTGCCATGTTGACACCCACTCGCCCATCCTTGACAGATCCCCTTGGAGTGCCTCACAATCCTCACTGGTTTTCACCACCCTGAACAACTTTGTATCATCCGCAAATTTAGCCACTTCACTGCTTACTCCCATCTCCAAATCATTAATGAACAAGTTAAAAAGCAGTGGACCAAGTACTGATCCCTGCGGTACCCCACTGCTTACCACCCTCCACTGAGAAAATTGCCCACCTACACTCACTCTCTGTTTTCTATGAACTAGCCAGTTTTTGATCCATAAAAGAACTTGTCCTTCTATCCCATGATTTTTGAGCTTACTTAGGAGCCTTTGATGAGGAACTTTATCAAAAGCTTTCTGGAAGTCAAGGTAAATAATATCTATTGGATCCCCCTTGTCCACATGTTTGTTCACCCCCTCAAAGAACACTAACAGGTTAGTGAGACAAGATCTTCCCTTACAGAAACCGTGCTGAGTCTGCCTCAATAGGTTTTGTTCATCTATGTGCCTACTAATTCTTTCCTTAATAATGGTTTCCACCAATTTACCCGGT